GATGCAGAGCTGTGCAGAAGCATTACTGTAATGCTGCTGTCAGAAGCTGCACAGAGTTCACAGCCCAAACCTGCCTGGAGCTGGACTGGAGAACAATCCAGTTCTGCTGACCTCCTCCCAGACCTGGGTGCTCAGCACCTTTCCCCCTCTGGACCACGCAGTCTTCATGTTCCCTCCCCATCACCCCCAACTGAGTCAGCAAATTCCCAGCAGTGTCCCAGGAGGAAAAACACCCCCAGGAGGGAGGGAGCTGTGAGCAGTCAGCCTCCAGCACGTGGTATCCCATAGCCTTTAGTATGAGCTCCACAGCCTGGAGACACAAACTGGGATGTTTGATCAGCTTATGTGTATCTATGGTAGTTGTCCAGACTAGATCACTTGGAGCACTTATGTGGGAAAGAGCCCCACATTTGGGGTTGTTGAGCTGACGTGAAGCAGCAAAAGCTTCTTTGTTCTGAGGGGATGAAGGAGCAGGGCAGGCAGGATGTGCTGTGACCACATCTGTAATGCACTTTCATAGGTTTCACGCTGTTGTAAGCGACAGCAGGGGCTGCCTTTTCCATAATATCCAGCAGGGAAAGCTGACTGTGCACGTCAGCAGAGCCTGCTCAGAGTCACAAGGTAAGAACTGGCCAGATGGAGGGCCAGTGCGAGGTCTGGAGGGAGCAACTCTTCTGGAGTCTGAAACACATCCTGCCCTTTAATCAACAACAGCCACCAGTACCTCATCCCCATCCATTTGGGACCAATGCTGTTATTATCTGCAAGGTCGCATGGTGAACCAAGAACAGAACCGGGATCCTCCTCTGATGCTAGGTCCTCTCCCCCAGCAGAGCTGGCACTGACTTTGGCTTGGTTGCAAGTATTTGTTCATAAAAGCAAAATATTAGCATCACTCTGGGACTCCTGTAGCTGCCTGCTGTGAGGCTTCCTGGGCTGGACACCCAGGAGGAATGAGATGTGTTTCAGCTGACCTGCTCCTGTTCAGGAGTCCCGTCGGCTCTGCCCATGAGCTGTGGTGGAGGAAACTGCACCAGCAGGCGGGTACCAGCCCGTGGCAAACCCCACACGCAGCATGGGCCAAATGGGCAACCTCAAAGCTTCAGTCTCTGCGGGGACTGAAGCCAAGTCCAGCTGCTCTGAAAGAGAAACCTGGAGAAGGGCTGGGGTTGGACGGGAACTGGAGATGCTGCCATCCACAGCCTGTAGCTTCCCAGCGCCTCCTGTTCACCCACAGCCTCATCCGCAGGCGCTCACAGAGATTGCTCAGGGAAACACTTCATCCCACTATCACAGCAAATCGGTTCTCAGCTCCCTGCACAGCCATAGCTGAGCGCAGCCTGGGCACAAATAGGATTTAAGAAGCTGCAGACCCTGTGGCTTGACAAATGCATAGTTTTAGTTAATACTCAGTAACTAAATGTGTCTTAGATTGCCCAGAGAAACTGCGGCTGCCCCATCCTTGGCAGTGCTCAAGGCCAGGTTGAACAGGGCTTGGATCAACCTGATCTAGTGGAAGGTGTCCCTGTCAGTGGCAGGGGTTGGAACTGGATGAGCTTTAAGGTCCCTTCCAACCCAATCCATTCTGTGATTCTATAATTAAACAGACAATACAAATGTCCAGGCAGTAAAGCAGAGGCAGAGAAGATGGAACATCCTTTCTTGCTCAGCCCTTGCCCTAGACACAGCTCTGGTGCCAGGGGATTCAGCAGGAGACCAGGAGAAGGATCACTGGTGACATCCAGGCAGATGCTGGCCTTTGGGACACTGACACACTGGTCCTCGGGTCTGGTACCAAACCTCACCCCCAGTAAAATCCGTACTGCTTTTTTACCCGTGATGCGCCTGACAAGAGCTGCACAGTTAGAGCCCAACCAAGTGGAAATTACCGGTTGCACTGACCACTTTCGCACCCCAACCTTCCATAGAATCTCCGTTTTAAAGGAGATGGATCACTCCGCTACCCGGAGCCGTGCCGGAGCGGGCAGCGGTGTCCTGCTACTGCCACCTCGTGGGCCCCTGCGGCAATAACCAGGTACCCGACACGTGGATTTCGGGGCACAGGGGCTGGAGCTCTCACAAGGCATCACTCGGCACCAGTGCTGCTCTGGGCATTCCGAAGGGACCTGTCACCGAGACACGTTTACTTCCCATACATGAGACACTTTGCCTGTACCCAGTGACCAACAGCACTATTTGCTGTGCATTTTGCACTGGCACCTATGGTTCCATCACACCATGGGATGGAGGAGCATCCATTCCCTCTCTGAGCTGTAAAATGGAGAAACAGAGGTTTTCCTAATCTCAATGTTATGTTACAGAGCAGGAAACAGGGAAATGCATGAGACATTCTTTGGTCACTGAATAATTCCTCCTTTAAACCAGCAAAGGAACTAGGTAGGATTTGCACAGCCTGGTAAGCTTTAGCTGCTGCTTCCCACAGATTCTTCTCCTGAAATCCTGGGACTTCTGCATTGTTTGCAGCCCATGACATAACCAAGAAACTCACCCATAGGTGCTAGCACAAGAAAGGCCTTTCAGCAGCGTTCTGTTCTTCATTGTAGGAAGCAAACACACAACTCTTCTAGGAGCTCCCCTACTCCTGGGGAGTCTCAATCAGCCAGCAACGGCACGAACCCAGCGCTGAGGCTGAACAGGGAGGCAGGCTTGCCCAGCAAGTGGAGATGAACCAGGTCTGCTGGCCTCCACTCATGGCTACGCTGGCCCAGCCCCAGCTGAGTCCTCACTCCCATAGTGGGAACTTTGGAAAGGAGTGTTTCCCAGATCCTCCTGCCTTGGAACTCATCGGCTGGGCTCAGCCTGAAACTGCCGGTGCTCAGGGAAAAGGAGTTGTCCTGGCTGCAGAGCTCATTTCTGCTGTGTGGGAAGGGCTGATCCCCAGTATTACCGAACTGCCATCCTTTTCCTTCCCCTTCTCTCGGGGCTTGTTTTCTTCCCAGCCTTCTTACTGCTTCACTTGGTGATTTTGGTGATGTCAGGTCTGTGCTTAAACTGTTGCTCCAGCTTCTGCTCCCTTTTCTCTGGCTCAGCAGCCCCCTCATGCACTCATACACTAAGGTGGCTGGGATAACCGCAGCTTGTCATTTGCCTCTTCCCTGTAAATCTGGCCTTGGATCACAGGCTTCCACAGCAGCAACCCTGCTTTCCCAGGGATGTCTTGCAAGAGGCATGTTTGGGCAGGAGCAAAGGCAGAGCTGTGTTCAGGTGAGGGTCCTGCAGACAGATCTCATTTTCCAGGAGGGATTTTGCCCTGGACTGTAGGAGGAGGGAACACGGGGGCTGTGCCCTGCTCCTGACAGCTGGAGAATGTAGGGCCATGCTGTCCTTATCGTCTTACCTCGTTGCTTGAGGTCCGGATCCAGTTCTCATCAGCATCCTGGGAAAAGCCCCTGTGAATTTCAGTAGGAATTTAATCACCTTTTTCATTGCCCAACTCAAGCTTTTTTTAGCCCAGCTTCTTCTGTGGTAGGAAAAATATGGTCTTCTCACCACCTGAAACAACTGCCTGGGAGCTGTTTCCTCCCACCCCGGCTCAAGGCACAGTACTATTCGATGACTACAAGGACATGCTTCTTGCACTTCAAAGGCACTGTGGACGGGTTTATACTTGTTATTCCACTTAATGTTTCTGACTTTGAAATGATTATGGGGTCTCCTCTGAATGCTTTATGGGGTAACCAAACTCCAGAAGAACAGGGCTCCTTCCAGCTGAGTAAATAGAAGATATTTTCATAAATCTTCAGACTATCAGAACATCAACAACATTATCCTACACGCACTGTTATGACTTTGTATTTGCAGAGTCATATGTGGAAGCTTAGACCTGTGCTTTCAGCCTTGTCTTCTGCTAAGCTAGAAACCTCAAGTAATCCCACAGGGGGGACTTCAGTTAAATCAGCTCCCAGAACCCTACCTGGAGTTCTTTGGAGCCAGCCAGGGTGAGGGTGAACACTCCATTGCTTTAGCCACCTGGATTGGGAATCTCAGTCTTTGACAAGGGATTAATGTCAGGTCTTCACCTCCTCTCTGCTGCTTCAGATTTTAACACACGGATGGCAAGGAAGAAAGTGAAACTATCAGAGTCCTACTTGTTCAGCCAGTGACTTCTCCTCTCCCCATTGCATCCCAGTACTTTGTGCCGAAGGGCTCCCCAGCTCCAGGGCAGCAAACAGCCACCAAACCAACTCTCTTTGGCATCTTCACAACGGGGCAGTGTTCTCACTCTCAGCGTGGACCTCCATTCCTGCCCGCTGGTTATCTGTTGTTCTTCAACCCCACCGTGGGGGAAGTGCCTGTGGAGATGGTGTTTTTCTTTCTAAATCAGCAAGATTTCTTTTATTATTAAATTCTTCACAGTTTGCAAGTTGTTTGTAGCCAAAACTCACATCTCCCTGTTGGATTTGTTTTCCATCTACTTCAGCCTTCCTCGTAAGCTTAAAAAAGTGAATGCAGATAATAAAACCAAAGTATTCTGCTACAGTTCATTATTTGGCCTGAAACACCTTCTCTTATGTGTGTTTGCCCATGGGAAGAGATGGTAAGTCAGAAGCTCTATGATCTGCCTGAGAAATGGAAAGAATAAGGAATATGAAACAGCTTTCCAACTGACACCAATCAGCACAGCTCCCTTGGGTTCAGGAGAGCTTTCCTACTTTTACCAGCTTAAGATCCATGTCCGTGCTTATCATGAGCCACTGAGGTACTAATCCCATGTCACCCTAACTGGGTGACAGCACCTCCATCTGTGTATGAACATAAGCACTCCTGGGAAACAAAGAATCCTCTGTATATTTGCACATTATTCTAACATTCCTCAAATAAATATAACTTCAGACCAGGCCCTCACTGAAAAGCTGGGAGGGAGCGGAAAGCAGAGAGGAAGAGGTGAGGAAAACAAGGGAATTCTTACATAGATACCTGTTGTTAAAAAGTATTTCTCTCTAGCGTGGAGCACAACAGACCAGACAAATCCAGTGCCCTTAAGAACAAATAAAGGTAATTATCCTGAGTAATACACATTGACAAAATGAGTTCTGTGGAGTAAAGGAGCTCTGTAAATCAAATCCAAGTAGATTGGTAAATCTATGTAGTAAAAAGGTACAGAGGCAGCATGGGGTACATGAACAGGAGAACCTGACCAAAACTCAGAGGATTAAAAGCAACAGAAGAGATTCCGATGAGTCCAATGGACTAAGATTTCATTTTCAGTCCTTAATTCAACCATAAGTATTTTGGCATGGTCAAAGTGACACAGCAGAACCAGACAGCATCAAAGCATTAAACCAGGACCCACTTTTACCATCAAAGGGTAAAAGTAATGTAGTCTAGCACCTGTGCTCACACACATTACCTCCAACTGTGCTGCACTTCCATTTGGAGACTCTTTACACAGTAGCAATAAAAAGTTAAGAGCATTGAATAGAGTGAAAATATGGAAGCACCATGACATCAATTTATTTAGCATGAATCATGTTCCCCACGACCTCAGCTTCTTGTTTCTGAGTTTCTAACCATGAGTAGTAGAAGATGAAACACATGTAACATCCGGAATGACAAATCTCATGTGTCCAGTCCAACTGGGACAGTCTGTTTCCACTTCTTTCCATGCTGTGGGTATTCATGCCCAGTGCCTAGTGGTTTACATTCAGAGTTTTCATGTCTCATCACTTCAGATGGGCTTCACAGTAACCCCCAGGAGGTCCCATGACCCTAACTGCAGTGTGATGTAGTTATTTGGTTTTTTACTGTGCTTAGACTCAACCTTCACCTTCAGGATATTTTCCTCTGTATTCACCAAAACTTTGCCTCAATACTTGATGTTTGAATGTCTTTATCTACCTTTTACTCTTCCTCTAAGATCCTAGTTTCACATCGATTTAAAACAACAGGTCTTGTAATTAAGCTGGATAACTGCAGTCCAAAATTTTTCCTAGGCAAGACTCCAGTGGAGTTAATTGGCTTCAGTGGGAGACTTGTCCGAGTAGGAAGGGCAAGATTTGCCCTGAACCAGACTATAAATTCTAGTGTAAAACTCAGTAGTTGTTCAGAGGCTCACTCCTGTGACAACTTCATTCTTCATGTTTCCTTTCCCGAATTCCCTTCCTACTCATAGCAGGAACGTTTTTTTGGCACCAAAATGAAATGATAATACCCTGGCCACCTCTCAAACCCCTGTTATGTCTTGAAGAAAGCATCGCTGTCTCCACTGCTCTCAAAGGGAGTGTAAAGCCTCCGAGATGTCGGGTTTCTACGTTTTGTCAGGAAAGGCCAGTTCTTTTCATGTAGGCAATAAACAGGCCCTGATAAGCAACTGTGACCCTGCCAAACTCACCAGTTGCTTTAGATGATGTAATAAGTACTTACACTTCCAATAAAACCACACTGCAGTATTTAAGGTATTCTCCACAGCTATGTAAGGAAGCACACTGCTATACAAGAGCTACCAAGGGAATTCTGCCTGCTCAGCCCAAGAAGCCCTTCTTAACCACAGGAGTTCCATTCCACTACTGCACATTTCCATCCTTCTCAGAAGCTGGAGGCCATTCTCCTTTCTCAGTAAGTTCTCTTTGTGGTGAAACATAAACATATTACATGGTGCAAAATATAAGTACAAAATTAAAGACGGCCTAGTTGACCAGACCGTATGAAGATACTTTCACATCGCCAGCCTCTGTAATGAAGTACTCCTATAGCTCCTTGTAACTGCACGGAACAAACTTCACTCTTCATATCTGAGATGCCAAACATTTCCCATTCTTTCACTGAACTTTATCCCTCTTTGCCAAGGAAATCTTGAGAAAACAAGTCAGTCATATGGTGCTTCCCATAGGTCACCAAGCTCCTGCCTGAGCAGCTGTAAGGGGAAAAGAACCTTTCCAAACCAAAAGCTCAGCATTAAGGCTGTTGCAGCAGTGGTCCCCTGGTCTCTATCAAGCTACTGGATTTAGTTCACCAGATGATCTCAGCTACTGTAGAACCACATAGAGAGCCTCTCACCTCTAAAACTCATGACACAAATCACTTACAACTTTGTGAGCTAATGCATCTGGAAATGAGACTGGCACCACCCTATTTAAAAGGCCCAAGGCTCTCCTTGGAAAGCCCCAGGACTAAAAAAGCTGCTTCACTCTGCGCTAGCCTTAGAACAAAAGTGCAAACATAAGACAGAGGCACTTTTGGTAAGAGAAGCTGATGAAACATCCACTGTTCCTTCAATCATGACACTTCTTACAGCACAAACAACGGTATGTGGCCTAAGTCACACGCATCCACATTTAGCTCTAGCCAACGTGATTCCTGCCTTTCAGAAAGAGCAGAGATAGAAATACAGATCCTGGTATCAAATGAATTCACAGCACTGACAACATGACATTCCCTGTTAGTCCCATGCTCCCCCAGAGCCCAGATACATGCAGTGAACACACAGGAACCACAAAACAGAACTTAGTGGACTTGCTCCTAAGACGAGGCCAGAATGACAGAGATGAAACCCAGAGCCCAATGGAGAATTGAGGCTGAGTTTTGCTATTTTAACAGTGATTTCCTTGACAGGTAAATCTCAGAACACAATTTTTGAGCCATCTATCATACAGCATATTTTGGAGAAAGACTATATTTCTGCAGTGAAGCCAGCTCTTCAGAGGCAAGTAATTTGTCTTCCTTTGTGTTAGCTTCCACTGGCCTTCAGGAAATGAAATCTAACCCAAAAAATAGCTATTTTGATGAGGGTTTAAACTGAAAACTAAAGACTAAAATGCACTGTACACCACTGTCAAATTTTTCCCACATTGAGTAATTTTGGTTCCTAATGGAATTCACACTCCTTACCTACCACAAAACATTTGTGAATTAAACCATTTGGTGAAACAGATCTTATACCAGATTGAAAAACAGTGTTAGAATTGGGACACTAAATGATGTGAGGCTCTTGAGCTTTGACCTTGTGGAGCACTGTCACTCAGTGTGTCCAAACGTCTTTCCCAACACTTCACAATGATTCTCAAAGCGGGTCATTAACACGTTACACAATTTTTCCCTTCCCTCTAGACTGGGCTTTTTTCCAGGTCCAGTAGCCAACAATAAATCAATCACAGTCTCTCATAAGAATTTTGACTTAAATTCTATCCTGTAGGTTGGGTTAAAACCAGAGCAGAAATCACTGCAGGAGGTGAGGCAGAAAGGGGCTAGTGGTGACTGCTGCTTAGGAGATGTTTGCTTGACCCACAGCTGTTCTTGTTGCCATTCTTTATGGACTCCTCTTCATTATCTGTAACAGAATCTTCCTCCTCTTCATCACTTCGATCATCTTTCAAGTCCTAGGGAGAAGAAAGCACTGTGAGCGTATTCTATACTTGCAGTGTTTACTGTCAGGTGAGTCATGGGATTGTTATCACCATTGCTATAGAACTTTAAAAGGCCTATGGGTTACGGACAAGGAAGACTTTCATTTTTAAAGTGAACTGGGTATCTGGATCTTTGCAATGACTTGAAAGAATAATCCATTAATTTCATTAGTCAGATGCCCCCATTTGTCATTGCAAAATCAAAAGGTGCATAGATGTTCCAGAATATGAGACATTCTCCCTTCTTGGAAATTCCCCACCATCCTCTGAAGACAAAACTCCTCTGTCTTCCATTTGCCTCAGGAAAAAAAAAACCAAAGTGCTAAAGGGGACAGATGAGAGGGGAGCTCGAAATACACCAGACAATGTTAAAACAGCCCCCCAGGAACACCCCCTCCCTCCAAAGATGCTGACAACCAAGGACACACCAGTTAACACCACTTTAATCTTGTAGAACCTAATGTTCTTTAGAGACAATTTCTTCCATGACCTTGGCCCAGTCATTTGACCTCTTCCTGCTCATTTCCGCCTTCCCTTGTAAAGCCTTGCTAGTAACCCCTGGGTGCTGTGGGATTACTTAAGAGTTGTGAAGTGCAGGGAAGATGAAAAGAATAGTGTATAAAGGCTAAACATGATGAATACACTCGCCCAAACAGAGGAGTTGAGATGCTGCTCGCTTCTGACAGGTGTAAACTAAACTGTGACTACTTGTGCCAGCATCTCCTGGTATTAGCTTTGCCTAAAGAGACTTAGTGACCATGAAATATTCCTCCTTGCTTGATGGTTTATACATCAAGTTGACCTTTGCAAAGGGGAGGCCATGTCTACACAGCTATCACATTCATCTTGTATATATCATCCTGCTAAGGGAATTGCCAGGGAGGGGACAGCTGCTCCATTAACAGGGATGAAAGGGGGTCAGCAAGACACTCTACCCTTAGGAAAATCCCTTCCCAGCTCTATAGGAACAGCTTCTAACATCTGGCAATCATGCTTCATCCCCAGTCACACATGGCAGTGCCTAGAGAACGCTTATACCAGGCAGAGAAAGGGCATTGTGTCTACCCAGTATTTCACAGCAAAGTTTGGAGAGAGATTAAGACAATTCTGTGCTGTTTGCCATGGCACATAAAATACACCCTTAGTCTCTTATTTCCCAACTTCTACCATAACCCAAGACCCCATGATGTGTTCAGAAGTTGGGTTCAAACAGTTGAGACTTTGGCATTAAAACCAAACATCTCTATTTCCCTTTCAGTGGAGCAAGCTCTACTTGACTCCCTGTCAGGACTTTTCATACCAACTGATGACCTGCTCTGCAGGCTCTAAAGACACTGTAAATTAAGCGAGCACTTCCTTCTGCCTAAGTGGTGACTGAGAACAGAAATGAGATCAAAGCAGGCATGTAAGAAATTTCTCCCACCTCCACCAGCAGTTTCCTGTGTGATTAGGAACTGCCACTGGTTGTCTCTTCCAGGTATTTGGAAGGTGCCCAATAGTTTCACCTGACACCCTCTACTTCTTGTGCTGGAAAAGATGGGCAATAGTCATTCCCTCTCCAGCATCTTACAAGTTTACTCACTTTAAAACAGCAGTTTCCCTGAAGCTGAGGATCAACCTTGGGCCCTCACACTGTGCTGACAATTTACCCATTAGCACCAAGGTATTTGGTCTGTTAATGGGAACGCCCAAATTTAACAGCCAGAATGTCAACATTCAGGTACTGAGGACTGGGGATACTGTGGTGTCCTTTTGTAACACAGGGGGGCTTGGCCTGCAGGCCTGTCTGCTGAGGGAGACCCAAAGCTTCTCTTCAGAACAGAGTCCGTTGCCTCCAGAGCTGCGTGCTGGAGCTGGCAGGCTCTGACGTTAGCCCTCGTGCAGACAATCTGTTGCCTGTACAGCCACACCGGGGATCGCTCCGTCACGGAGGAATTTGTTCTCCTTGTCATCTGTCTGGATCTCAGCTAAACAGGCAGAGACTGCACGTTCTTCCTGCTCCTGGAGCGATGTGCCAAGGTCCGAGATGAGACGCAGAAGGAGAAACCGGCGCTGTTCCTGCCCATCCTGTATCTGCTCTTGGAATGAACTAACAATTCCACTGTCTTAGCCTGCCGGTCTGAGGTCTTTCTTAAACACCACATTTATATAGAGAAAAGAAATGACAGCTCAGTAATAACTCATCCAATTGCCATCTCATATCCCTTTATACACTACGCTTCTAATAAAATGCATAGGAGTAGAAAGAAAATTAAACTCTGAACTCTGTTCCATCAGAAACTATAAAACTTCCTGGAGATTTTCTTCTGCCTTTTCCCTAACAACACACAAAGGGTATCAAAACAAACAAATCTTACTGTAAATACTGTAAGATAAACTTGGCATGCCATCAGTTAGAGGAAAGGAAAGACAGCCTTTCCCACACAAACAATTTATGAGGTTCTGCCTCTTTCAGATCACCTCTCTCACTCCTGGTAGCTTTGCAATTTGTATTTGCAGTAAAAGACAAATGGCGAGGGTGTGGGGAGAGGTTTGTTATTCTTTGTACCGCCACAAATGCTTCAGAAAATGAAATGCAAACTAAACCTAACACAGGGTCTGATGCAGAATCTGCTGTGCTCATGGCAAATACCCCCATCCTCCTGAGCAGCCTCTGGCTGAGGCTGCAAATGTGGGGAGTGAAAGGGGAGGAGCATTGATTCCTGATCCCTACAGGAATGAGCTGGCATTTCCAGCATAGAACTGGAAACTCAGACAGGATTTGCTTCCCAGTTTTAATGCTGTCAAGCTGGATGCTCTGATTAAAATCACTATATGCAGTAATTAAAAAACATGTCAATGTTTCTGCCAGCACACTGCAAAATCCCTGCATTTGAGATAATGTCTTCCATAATTCAAAGCAGCAGGAATTAAATTGTTTTGTATTCTGAAGCAACCATTGCAAATTTGCTTCATTTGGGGAAAGAGCACTGCTGCTGAAATCCTGATATTAACCAAGAAAAATTACTGCTAAATCCAATCTAGACCTCTATTATGCTTTTAAACATTAACCTGCTTCCTGACCAAGTGCCTCCACAGACTCTTGCTTTAGAAGAGTCTGGCCATTTCTGTCTAGCTTGTTTCAGTGGCAGAACAGAACTTTAAATAGCAATAGCTTCATCTGTAACTAGAAAACCAAACAAACGGGTCTTTGCAGACTGTAACAGACCATTATAGATATATCAAGATACCGTAAGTGAAGTTTGTGCCTCTTAACTTTGACCTTCTAAGAATAACAGAAAAGGTAACATTTCTAGGATTTTCCCTGCTTTAATACCAAGATGTTTTCTCTGAGCCCCTCACATCATATATTATAGTTGTGTTTTCCAACTCAAAGACTGCTCTTACCGTCCCTGAGCAACAACAGATGAATATACTATCAGAAACACAAGAGCTGGCAAACTGTAAATACCACAACTGAGGCCATCATTAATACTCAATGCTTTAGTTTAATGGCATCAGCTGCATTTATTATACTTCAGATGGTTTAGGGTAACAGACAAAATGGATGTGTATATTTTATGTTCTGGATGACTAACCAATTTAATCTTTCTAAATGGATGAATGGTTTCAAGGTTTATGAGAAGCAACACTAATGCTATAAAGTCTGCAAGAGAGCCATTTGTAGTGAAGCCAAAGCCGCAAACTCCTATAATCTTTTTTCCTTTTGTTTAACCCTTCCACCTGCTGCTCAGTCTGCCTCTTTTAGTTAAATGAACCGTATTTGTTAAGGTAGTTTTGGCTTCTTGTATTTCACTGCTGTTCAGACTTGTATCATTCAAGTCATTACCACCACATCTTACTATGTGAATGGTAAAGGACCTTCCAAAAGCCTTCACCAAGGAAAAAGGACTTCTTGAAATTAAAAGATGAGCAAACTTCACAGGCCACTTCCCAGCCTCTTGTAAACAGAAGAACATTGGTCAACTTTCCATCTAAACTAATAGAATTTACTCCTAATTGTGCAAGTCTCTCTCAATACAGCACTCAGAAATCACTTCCCTCTTGACACACTCTTAGTGCTGTGTTCTTCCTGTTACAGCTGATACGAGCACTGGGAGAAGGACGAGGGCTGGGCTGGAAGATGGATGGAAGTATGGGTTTCCTGTTCCTGTGTGCTGGTGATGCCATCTGAAGCTCACTGGTGGAGAAGTGGGCCTGGGCAGACCCCACCTTCTCTCCTAATTCCCTTTACTGGGCACGTGCTATCTTTGTCTGTGTCACAAGGCAGCCATGGCTTCCTATCTGCTACGCAGCAGCTAAAGTGGAAAGTGTAAAAGCAGAGAGAAAGCCAGTGCCAAGTGGTATAAAAAAAGAGGCAAAGATCTATTGTAGCAACATGGACTGATCCTATAAACAGTGGGAAGCCTTAGCAACATGCCTCCTGCTTTCTCAGGAGGGGAAAGACACTTGCTAGCAAACACATCATGGGGTCAGTGTGGCTCCGAGCAGATTGTCAACTCAAGGTCTCAAAATGTAAGATAGGGAAAGTGGCTGAGAGATACTGAACAAAGAGGGTTCTGCAGTGAAGGGCTCAGTTGCTACATTTATTTCATGACCCATCTTTCAATCCAGCATCTCCCTGACAGAGACACACACTTTCTGAGCAGCACACACTAATGTTGGGTTGGTGCTATGAAGGCAGTAGTGTGGTACCAACACTCAAGGCTTCTCAGCAGCATAAGGAGATTGCCAGGCAAGGGCAAGACTAACACCAATGAATCTTTTAGGGTAAGCATAATTTATATCCATACAGCTCACTGGATGCCTTCTACCAGGTACAGGGACGTAAAAGGAATTCACAGCTGACTGTGGATTTTTAATTCTGTGTTTCCTGATTTGGTGAAATTTTGATTTTGGGATTTTCAAATATTAATTCTTATCTTTTAGTTGGAATTTCCTGACTCCTAAATGTATCAAGTTAAAATAAAAAT